ACAATTACAGCATAGTTTAATACAACTACAACTATAAGTATAGTCATAGCACTTCTCAACATTTCTAAACGCATCTTAAGTCATGAATCTTTATTTCAAGATAAGAAAGGGCTAATATGTCCTCTGAGTCAGAAGTTATTTATGATCAAATAAGGCATGCATGAGTCGAATATTGTTATAAAAAAGGATAAGAAAGAGCTAATATTTGTAATTTAATTAAGAAAAAATTAGTGCAGGAGCAAATAACAATTTAACATATTATCAAACATATATAAAGTCTGACGAGAAGGTCTTTCATATAATGTTTGCTAATACTATATAGTCAGTTGTGCGAGTCAATAACAATTGCTCTTCTCACCAAACATTTCTTCACTCAGATACAAAAATCAAATTGAACATTACAACATTACTCCAAGCCCCACGACAGCACATTTTGAAACCGGAAGAAGGAACCAAAGCATTAACAAACAAAGAAAGAATATGATACTCCATTAGTCAAACATAGTGACTATATATTTAATTTTTGTTTGAGATTCTAAACAGTTACCATATCTAAAACCAAATCTGACGATCACCCCCTAAAATTTAAAACCAAGATTAAATTTAAAATGGCAGTCCACATATAATTAGCATAATCAACCCTGGATTTATTTTTAGGTTAACTTAAATTTTGGGTTCCAAGATTAAATTTCATTCAATGAAATATGAGAAAACCATATTAAGGGCTGATGGCTGACGCTAAATTGTAGAACTCACTATAGTTCTTCAAAGCACTTGGAAATTAAAGGCCAAAGAAATACCTTTATTCACAAAAAACAAAAGTTTTGAATTTCAATATTCTCCTGTGCTTTATTATGAAAGGATAAAACCCTAATCCTTTAAGAAGGTGTTTGGCGAATTACCATTCCTATCAAATTGGCTATGGCTATATAATGTTCATGTAATTAGCAACCACTAACACTCAATCATGCACATGCATTTTATGCAAAGTAATGGACAACAAATCTCACATTGGCATGTTTTGTGCATCATAAACCAGACTACTGGCAACCAAGTATTTCAAAATTAAAAAAAGAAAAAAAGGAAAAAAAAAAGAAACGTAAACATCAATCAATGGGATTTTATATTACTCATTTGCGCTTATATAATACAATGAAAGGTGCATGCATCATTAAGTATTTGTTATGGGAGACTGGATCATAGGCTGCATTTGGATGCAAAATTTCCTCCCAAAGGCGGCTTGGTGGCTATTGACTCAAATTATCAAATTTCTACTCCTAGTCTCATTATTCCTGCCATGGATAATGTATTCTATCCCCCAAAACTTTTAGGCTTTTAAGGGAGGCAAAGAACTGAAACCCACATACCCGGCCGCAGATCTTTTAATTTTGCTCCTTCAACAACTGAAACCAAAAGCTTCTGCCTTGAAAGTACTGGCTACAATTGCAAGGCCACTTCTTTAACTGCAGATCACCGAAGATAGAGGTAAAGACTAAAAGCAAAATGTTTTAAAAATCTATATTTTGCAATTCTAATTCTGATTCCAGGACTTATAAATAAAGGCATCAAAAATCTATATAAATAGGAGAAATATTTTAGCATTGTACGTAATCAACCATAGCATTAATTTTTTCCTCATAAAGCATAATGTAAGCATGGTTTAATTAGGTCCCCAACCTTTCAAGTTTTCTACTAAAGTGGGATAATAGGGGTTCTGCTTTAATCAAGCACAGCAGAGTCATTTATTTTCAAATTTTCATCAATTTGAAACAAAATAACCATCCAAAAATGCACCAATGAAGGGTTATTAACGAGTCAACCCAAGTACGTAAGTACTTGTGTTCAATCTCATCTTAAAAATTTGAATTATTTAAGTTGAGCTCAAGTATTTATAGAGTTTAAAATAGTTGAGTTTATGCTAAAACTCACAAGTATTTGAGTGACGGTTCGAGTTTGCTCGTGAACTTGGATACTCAAGTAAACCAATACATTAACTTGAATTCAAGCTTCTTTCCTATACTTCCAAATTGATTCAGTAACAAATCATTTAACTATAAACTTTTCTATATTTTTCAGAACTATTATAATCCCAAAAGCTTGAACAAGAGCATTACATTAGGTCTAATAGTAAAAAAACCAATCATAAACTCCATTTTAAACATTTATTAATAATTCTATAAAACTCAAAATATGTAACTTATTTAAGTTGCATTTTCAATATTGTTAAGTTTATAAGTTATTATATATTTAAATTTAATAAATAAATATTATATAATTTTTAATTCTAAATCGAGTATTCACTGTAGTTTAAGTTCATTAATTTTTATCGAACTCAATGTTGAATTTGAACTTGACTCATTTAATAAATAAGTTGAGTTCAAATTAAACTTAGCTCAAGTAGCTCATAAACCTTAATCGCTAAGGACCTACTTGGATTCATTGACAACCACATCATTAGCTTCAGCAGCTTGTTTCAAGAAATAAAAGTTTGATAATTGGAGTCAACAAAAAAAAAAAACAAAAATGTAAGGATGGAAGGAGAGAGAGAAAAAGAGAGAGAGAGTTACGACCTACTGTGAGGAAGAATGTTGATGCTAAAGAACTCAAGCAATGCAACAATTGGGATTGGAATGGATGGAGCTGGAGATACGGTTTGGAGGCAGCACACCAAATTGCACCACTCCTCTGGCGATCCTTGTTGGAAAAATAAACTTGATTTATTAATCTCCTATTTTTAGTCATATAACTGCATAGTTCATGTACCAACATAGTTCATGTACCCATTACATTTTATCGTTACAGTTTCTAGGAGTTGCATTTAATTGTTTTGGGTTTGGAGTCTTTTGTGCCTATAAAATGGCTTGTACTTGAGCAGTTGTATATCTAAGCCAAGAATTCAGAAGCATTTCTGGAAAGTTTCTTCTTGCGTTCTTCTCCAGTCTTTCCTTCCAAGTTCTTTATTTCCAACAAAGTGGTATTAGAGTTTACTTCCAAAGATGAATAGTACTTTTCCCTTTGTAGTTCCCAAACTTACAAAGGAGAATTATGGACATTGGTGTCTTCGCATGAAGGCATTGCTTGGCTCACAGGAAGCATGGGAGGTTGTTGAGAAAGGCTATGATGAACTAGAGAATGAAAGAGTCTTGAATCAAAATCAGAAGAATGCTCTGCAGAAGCTTTGAAAGCAAGATCAACATGCC